TCTTTTGCTTTATTTTTGTACTTATTTAAGTATCTCTAAAAATTAGTCAATGGGAAATGTTAAAAGTAGAATTCAAAGTCTTCTTCTATATGGTTAGTCCCATTTGGCATATTGGATGGGAAATGAGCATAATATAACTATTTCCGTTCCATTCATGGTGCTCTTATGGCTGATTAGAAAATGGCAATGTTTTGCCAGGTACAATTGTGGACTCAAAGATATGCCACCCAGTTGAGTTTGAATTTTACCTTCGTAGCCATGCTGGCAATATGCGGACATGTTGTTACATAAAGAATTCAAAGAGTCGGGAAAGATCAAAGTTAGTGGTCTATCTCACTTCTGTGACGATAACAAACAAAAGGCGGGGTATTTTTTCATTTCTCTTTCCACATTACATATTAGAAAGTGAAGTGGAGGAATTTATATTATAAATTTTACCTGGAATAGTATTAATTTAATCAGTGATCTATTTTGCATGCCCAATGCACTGGATCAATTAATTTCTCTTTTTCCGCATTGATTTTGTGTCTTTATTTCCATACCATAAATGAATTAGATATCATTTTCATCATCATTTTCATTTACCCAAGTTCCGCAAAGGCTCCCACCTACGGTGGAGTAAGAGGGGGTCGGATGTACGCAATCTTACCCCTATACTAAAGCACATAGAAACTGTTTTCGGATGACCCATAGTGAAAATCGCGTCCAAAATTGCATGGACTGACTGCTGCTTAATAACAACGAAGCGCAGACAGCTTAGTGAGCCATTTTGCTTTATTCCATCATAATCTCAAGCCAAAAAATAATGAATCTTTGGCTCCTTTGGAAATGATGGAAAATATAAAAAGGCAAATACTTATAGTGCAATGCTTTCCTCTTCCTAGTGATAGCTATGTGTTAAGTAAAATGAACATGTAATCATAAATGTTAACTAATTGTGTCTAGTAAATTCCTTTCAAGGAAATTTCACATACCAAATATGTGGATCCATGCATGTGTAGAACGGACTCCGTGTAATTATTTTTCGGGTATGGAGGAATTTATCTTCTTTGTTCTTTAGTTACTTATTTTTCTATAAAAAATATTGAAAAAATTTAAAGTGAATTTTTGGCTAATCGGGTCGGGTTAATTGGGAGTGGAATATGATGAACAAGAAAATTGTTAATCCAGCAAAAATTTTCGTCCTACCAATGACAACACTGCATCTCTAGTAAGGTCGAATGCAATCAAGTTTTTTAGTTCAATGCAACTGACCAATGTCTTTATGAGCGCAAAAGGGAGAAAAGTATCACTAAGGTTGTTGAAACCGATAAACTTAACAAGGATAATTTAGTAGGTGAATTTGAAAGAAACTCACCATTGAACTTGCTGCTATAGATGTTTGTGTTCTTCCACCACCAATGATCAAATAACGTGAGAGTACGGGTACCTGCTTCCTGATAGCTTTGTTGATGTTGAGAAGAGGCACCAAACCCGCATGTTCCCTTGCAATCACAAGCATCGCCGTCTGACTAATAAGAGAGTGGCAGCATTTTGCCAAGTACTGTTGTGGGTAGAAATACTCTTTCCACCGTACAAAGTTTGATTTCTACCTTTGCAGCACGTATTGGGTCGGCGAAGGCTTAGAATTCTAAACCCTTATCAACCCTACCCGACTATATAAAAATAGACACACTAGTATTAATCACGAAGCATGTATAATCATTTATAATCTATTTCTTTTCGATATACACTCTCTGAGTCAAAGTATTTATCTAGGCTGCTTCTGCTTAGTTTCACATGGGTGCAACTCTTTCCCATGGAATGGTATTAATTTAATCAGTGATCTATTTTGCATGCCCAATGCACTGGATCCATAAATTTCTCTTTTGCCGCATTGATTTTGTGTCTTTATTTCCATACCACAAATGAATTAGATCTTGCAGTAAAAATAAAGAATGACAAATACTTATAGTGCAAAGCTTTCTTCTTCCTAGTGACAACTATAAGTTAAGTAAAATGAACATGTAATCATAAATGTTAAGTAATTGTGTCTAGTAAATTCCTTTCAAGGAAACTTCACATACCAAATATGCGGATCCGTGCGAGTGTTGAGCGGACTCCGTGTAATTATTTTTCTAGTATGGAGGATTTTATCTTCTTTGTTTCTTTAGTTATTTATTTAGCTATACAAAAATATTGAAAAATAATTAAAGTGAATTTTTGGCTAATCGTGCCGGGTTAATTGGGAGTGAAATATGATGAACAAGAAAATTGTTGATCCAGCAAAAATTTTCCTTCTACCAATGACAACAGTGCATCTAGTAAGTTCGAACGCAATCAAGTTTTTTAGTTCAAAGCAACTGAACAGTGTCTGTATCAGCGCGAAAGGGAGTAAAGTTTCACTAAGGCTGTTGAAACCGATAAACTTAACAAGGATAAATTAGTAGGTGGATTTGAAAGAAACTGACCATTGAACTTACTGCTATAGATGTTTGTGTTCTTCCACCACCAATGATCAAATAACATGAGAGTATAGGTACCTGCTTCCTGATATCTTTGTTGATGTTCAGAAGAGGCACCAAACTCACCTGTTCCCTTGCAATCACAAGCCTCGTCGTCTGACTAATAAGAGAGTGGCAGCATTTTGTGAGGTACTGTTGTGGGTAGAAATACTGTTTCCACCCTACAGAGTTTGATTTCTACCTTTGCAGCACATATTGGGTCGGCGAAGGGCTTAGAATTCTAAACCCTTATCTTCCCTACCCGACTATATAAAAATAGAGACACTAGTATTAATCACGAAGCATTTATAATCATTTATAATCTCTTTCTTTTCAATATAAACTCTCTGAGTCAAAGTATTCATCTTGGTTGTTTCTGCTTAGTTTCACATGGGTGCATCTCTTTCCCTTCTTTATTATACTATGTTTTTCTTCTAAAAAAACTTACTCTGTATTTTGCTTTGTGTCAAGTAAGTTAGAATAGATTCTAAATGGAATATTGCAAGCTCATTTGTATTATTTGGACAAGCCCCTATATATAGAATTCAAAGAGATACGAAAGGTCTAAGTAAATATTCTCTCACTTCTTTGGAACTATATGGCATGACGCGAACGAACAAAAATTGGTACTACCTCTGTCCCATAAAATTCTTCTCACTTTGACTTGTCACGGAGATTAAGAAAGTGGAAATGTATGGCTGTGGTTGTGTAAGAAAAAGGTGAAATGAATGTGAATCACACAAATTGTCCAAAAATGGTAAGTGGGAAGAATTTTTTGGGATGGCCCAAAAAGGAAAGTGGGAAGAATTTTATGGGACAGAGGGAGTAGTATATAATTGCATTTTCAACATTTCTATGTAAAAAAGGTGTCACTATTTCACCATATTAAAGCACCTTCATCTTGATTTTCGTGCAAGTGCTGAGCAGGCTGCGCGCAAGTGTCGAGTGGGGTTTGCTCATTTACGTTTTCAAGTATGGAAGATCTTATCTTTTGTTTTATTTCTGTAATTATTTAAGTATCTCTAATAAAATATGCAAAAAATAGAAGTTAATCCCCTTTCGTATAGTCCATGGTAGGGGTGGACTTGGGTCCGGGCCGGGTCCGGGTTGGGCCTAGGCCCGGCGGGCCGGCGGTTCAGGAATGGTGGACCCGGGATCGGCCCGGGTAGCCACCGGGTCTGGTCCGGGGCCGGGCCTCCGATTTGGGTATTTTTTTTTTTGCTTTCCTAAGCCCCCACCCCCCACTCTTCCACCCCCCCCCCCCCCCCAAACCCATCCTACCCATCAAGCCCAACCCGGGTGGAACCCAAAAAATGAAAAAAAATCAATTTGACCTGGGTCGGTTCACCAAATGTGAGACCCAAGCCCGGAACCGCCCTACCCCCCGGGCCTAGGCCTGACCCGGACCTGGACCCGAGAACCGGGCTGGTCCCGGTCCCGCACAGTAACGGGCCGGGCCGGGTGGCCCGACCCGAGTCCAACACTAGTCCATGGGAAATGTTGAAAGTAGAATTCAAAGTCCTCTTCTATATGGTTTGTCCCATTTAGGGGTGCAAATGAGCTGAGCCACTCGTGAGCCGCTCGTGAGCTGCTCGATCAAAGGTCGAATCTTGTTCGATCAAACTCGAGCTCGAGCCGGCTCATTAAGCAATCGAGCCATAAACGAGCCTACTAATTTTAGGCTTGCTCGCTCGTGAGCCGGCTCACGAGCCTAGTTTTATGTGTGTATATTTATATATTTAATATATATATATATATATATAATATTAATATAAATTAATACATAATATATATTAGTATATATAATATATATTAACATATATATATATATATATATATATATATATATATATATAATACCGATTGGTAAATGTATATGAGGATCGGAGAGATTATATTTTCCATTCCCGTAACTCTAGTTTCAGTTAAATCATCACGGTTTGATCATTTTTTATATATTTTGGACAACATTTTCTCTACTTTTAATTGTTGGGCATGTAAATTTCAATTTGTAAATACTAAGTACAAATATTCAAAGATTGTTTCATACTTGAGCTTGAGTTCGAACCAGAACTTTCGAGCTAATCGAACTTGTAACATTTGAGTTGAAGAACCAAAATTATCGAGTCGAGCCGAACCATGTCAATATTTGCGAATTGCGAGTCGAGCTCGAGCCCGGATTTTTTAAGCTCGTTCGAGCCGAGCTCGAGCCAATACAATATATTGCAAGCTCGAGCTCGAGCCTACATAAACTCGGGCTCGGCTCGACTAGTCCCATTTGGTATGGGATGGAAAATGAGCAAAATATAACTATTTCCGTTCCATTCATGGTGTTCACGCCTCCATGGCTGATTAGAAAATGGCAACGTTTTGCACTTTTGCAAGCTACAATTGTGGACTCAAAGATATGCCACCCAACTGAGTTTGAATTTTACCTCCGTAGCCATGCGGACATGCTGTTACATAAAGAATTCAAAGAGACGGGGAAGGTCAAAGTTAAAAAAAATAGAACCACAATTATAAGAATAGTAATAACAATTTCTTTCATTTAATAATATAAACTGTAAGAAGAGCTACACGTTCATCACCATTCCTAAGCAACAACCTAAAAGATGACATACACAGGACCTCAAATAATGATTTCTTTTTTGGAAGGCAAGCACTGGTTTTTAATCATCTTTCTTTGTTCAAAAACTTTGCGGGGGGGGGCACAATTTATTATGTTAAAAACAAAGTGGTTCTTTCTACAACAATCTTCATACACGATATCAATATGAGGAATAAAGCTGCAGACGTCAGTCATGTTGAAATTTGAAAAACACAGCTCTCCAAGCTCTTCCTACACGGCTTTGTGAATCCCTCAGAAATCAACACACAGTACAATAGATTCAACCAACACTGCAGTAGCGCCCCTTTTCCTTTGTCCTTGATATTCATTGTTCATAATGTCAACCTAATATACAGCAAACGAACATGTCATACTAACATATATGGCAACAAAATGTCTGAACAATATATATATATATATATATATATATATATATATATATATATATATATATAGAGAGAGAGAGAGAGAGAGAGAGAGATTTGTATATGTCAACGGAAAGAAAAGGTTATCTTGATTACTGACATATATATATATATATATATATATATATATATATATATATATATATATATATATATATATATATATATATATATATATATACTGATGAACAGGTGCCATATTACTATGGCATTTAATGCCTAAAGTTATATGCTTTTCTTCTTTCTGTGATTAACTTAATTAATTACTCAAAAGAATAATTAATATCAGTCGTAAAATACATGGAGTAGGAACTGCGCTCAGTATATAATATACACCTGAGTCCTGACCTGAGCATATATCACAAGAACTAGGGTAAATTTATGTTTGTTAGAATATTTCTCCAATCTCCATCTACGGACTTGCAGGCCGGATGAAAATAGTTCAAAGAATATGGATTCCTTATTCTACGTGTCAATTAATTAACACAAAGTAGGTGTGTTGAAGACTTCAGACTATCACATAAATAGGGGACAAAGTATGCCTTTTTAATTAAATTTGTATGATAACACCATATAGAAGTAATAGAACATAAAAGAACAAAAAAATGATAACATCATCATCATTACCCTAGTGCCGCAAAGGCTCCCATAGTCCCGCCTACGGTGGGGTAAGGAGGGTCGGATGTACGCAGTCTTACACTTGTACTAAAGCACAAAGAGACTGTTTCCAGGAACAAAATGATAAACATCAAATAATCAAATTAGAGGGCGGATGAAATGTCCGAATAACAAATGAGGTGGTCTAGTTGGCAAAGATGTGTGCCTGGAAATAGCATTCCAATCAGGGTTCACCACCTCCCCCCATCACATGACCAAAATCATACAACACCATAGCAGGTAATAGCCCATGGACAATGGCAATTGTCACTAACACTGAGAACAACTGTAACCATAACCACATCTTATAATGGAAACTTTTAATCTTCACCTTTCATTTTTTAGTCAATGGCTCACATTCATAGAGTGGCATTTTTGTAACTATTTCTAAATTCATATGGAAGTTTGTTTGCAACTATTCTAAAATAACTACAAGGTAAATGGATAAAGGAATACCTAAACAAGGTTAATAAATGATAGGTGAGGACATTGTTCTAAAAATCAGCCTAGTCGGTCCGATTAATCGGCCCCTAGGCGCTAAGCATTACATACCTGTGGATGACTAATCGGCCAAAAAACCAGCCTAGTCGGCCCCTAGTTGATGTCTAGGCGCTAGGTGCCCCTCATCCGTCTGACTAGCGCCTAGCGAGTTCTAGAACACTGGATGAGAATTGAATGTTCACATTTATGAAAATGTGCTTATGATAACATCATTACAGGTGTTCTCATAACGACCACTCGCCCAGATTCCCTAGAAGTGGTGGCACAGTGGGTGGAGCATGGAACCTAACCACAAGTTCACAAGTTTGATTGTAATCAACACTTTCCAAACTAGAAGTATTGAACAAGAACCTACAACTATACAGCATTTTTTTAAGATCCATCATTTATCAGTGTTGCAATTCAGGACTTATAGGAACAGGGAACTAAAGTTAGTAGTAGGTTTTATTTAAGTTACCTATTCATTTTTTGAATGTGTTACTGATGAATCATTTGTATCACCCTGACCATCCTGCCTGAGGCTGACACTACTAGCCTTGGCATCTGCAAGGAATTTAGGATCCGGTTCATGCTTCTCTGAGCTTTCTCTCATTGCCATGTAAATGTAAAATGCTATAACAACGTTGACGGAAATGACAGCTAGAAACCCACTGAGCAGTGTTACAGAGTACGGAGAGAAGTCAGTCATACCTGTTCCATATGAAACAAAAACCGAGCTGATGCCACAATGACCAAAGACGGCTCTCATTGGATTTTTAAAAAATTAAAAGTAATGCAAAGCTATAATCTATATTTTCCAAACTAATAAATTAAATCTAAATAGAATCTATTTATAATAGCCTACAGCATAAATATGAAGAAAGCTTACCAGGGAATAAATTATGATTGAAACCATAAAGAATTGCAATAGGAACTGCCCACATAAACAAAGATGCGATAAAGAAATTTGTTATGACTCCTGCCATGTTACCTTCAGCCTGCAAATAAATGTAAGAGTTTCTTATCAACTTTAATTGGTCAGGCTACGCAAGAGTTTCTATTGAGCAAGAGAAAATAATGTATACAATGCCATGATCCCTATGGTGTAACACTGAGGAAAGAAAAGAGAAAAATGCCAAATTGGATAAAGAATATGGTGTCAGATACAAAAACACACTATATAGGAGCGTTAGAGTATGGGCAGAAGTTACTCATGCATACGATGAACATTGTATCGGTGCATGTATTACTTGTGTGACATCCCACTAATTTTCCTTTTTTATCCGTCTCACTAAGTTTGTGTCTTACCATATTTGGTGTTACTTGTGTGATTCTCATTCATTCTTATTTTATAATTTATTAATATTTTATCAATTCAATATCAACCACATAATTTCACCTTTCTTAAATATCACGACACCTTTTCATAATTTCAGTATTATTTTCTTATGTATCTTTTAAAGTCTCAGACTCAAAGCACTTATTCAAACAATTGTAAGTCTTTGAATATAATGATTTCATTGAAAAGGGAGATTCATTGATTTCTGATATTGTAAAAAAGCATGCACGCAGAGTTAACACCAAAAAATAGAACAATTCCTGAATCGATTTTTCCCAGATGCTTCTGGCCGAGTGGCTACTTCTAACTTAACAAAAAATTATGAAAAGCAATACTCTATATCTAAAATGGAGAAATCCATATTTAACAGGTCATACGCCAAAGCATGATGGAGATTATTATGACATTCGGGCTAGAAACAAAATAGGATTGGATTACATGTTTGAAGAAACAATGCTACACTTGAGGAATTGAACTATTGAAGAGACTATGTACTCGACTAGGAACGGGTACTAGTCATCCTGGTTATCTCTGAATTTTAAGGAAAGATTGGTTCTTTTTAACAGCTATTTGAATGTTCTTGATTTGGATCTGAAGTGGTTAACAGTAATGTGATACACACACACAGAACCACATACACACACATCTCAGTACATTCAAATTAGGAACAGTCAAATTTAATTCCTTAGATTGTTGCCACACCTACAACTTGCAGGCTGCAAGTACTTGAGAAAGAATTTTAGAAGTTTGGATTTAGTAAGTTTCAACAGCTCCAAGTCCATAAGAACCTAAAAAGTTTGAGAGGACTTTTTCTTAATGTGATATTGAGGCCCCACATTAGAGGCAAAAAACAAAAATTACATAAGAAACTACTATGTATTAAGTAAACAGCGAAAAAATATAAAGTTCATTAAAACGATTAATAAATATGAAATACGGAGTATAAAATTAAAAAGTAGAAACTTTCCCATTTCTGCTAAATTAAATTTACTACGGTAAATTACTAAAATTCACATACATCCTTTGTTTCTTTCATAAGAGAATAGTTCAGGAAACACCACTAGTGTAGATTGCACACATGAAAACGGCCTAATTCTTATTTTAGATTTTTAGGTTTTCCCAAGCAATCAAGGAAATATTTAGGGAACTGGTGTAATTTGAGAACATGTAGTTTGTATTTAAATTAAATTCAGGTTTTATTTCATATTCATATTTGATTCAGTAACTGCATCTTATGATCCCAGCAATCAATAAAAAGATTGAAATTTAATGTAAAATACTATCAGAGTTTCCAGAATTACTGGACATAAGGCTATTCACTCACAGCCAGATTATACATTTACACACAAATTACAGAATTTAAAATCAATTGACTGACAATTGTAAAATGCTTTTCGGGTTTTACACTGTAAATTGAACAAAAACAGTAAAACACTAATTGATCTAATCAACTGAATGAATGAATCCCAACACATAGCCACATAACCAAGGATCGCGAAGAAGTTGTGTAGTTGTGTGGAGTCGTGGAGAGCAGGTCTGTAGGTCACAAGGAGTCTGGAGTCATGACTCGGTACACTTGCGGAGAACAGTTCATCACTCGTCAGTTCGTTAACTCCTTTAAGCTTAAGCTTTAGCGTGAAGGGTTTCAATGAAGACAAAAACTCAAAATATGAAGATATCGGTTACTAACCTAAGAATTCAAAGTGATTCCTGAAGAGTATGTGTTGGATTTGAAGATTCATGAAGCGTCAAAGACTGGCAAAAAAAATTGTGTTTTAAGTGGTTTGCGTATAGGAGCAGCCAGCAGGTGATACAGTGTATTTGCATTTGCCCTGGACAGATTGAACAACGTACCTAGGTCACGTCTATGCAAACTTTGAATATCACAAGTGCAAAAGCAACATAACCGCTTGATTCCTGGAGCGTGCGCTGCGTGGAGGATTAGAGGTTTAAGGCTGGACTTCTGCAGACTGGAAGAAAAATTGCTGGATCCTGGAGGCTTCCTTGAGGCCCTTTTTTTCTCTTGTCTGAAGCAAAACCGTTGGAGCTGGAAACGCCAATCCTCTCACCTTTATTTTGAACAGTCCATACCAGTTTACAAATTAACTTAACTATAATGATATTATTATTAAGTTATCCCATACTGAATGTGTATAGTCATACAAATCGACATATAAAGCTTTAAGTAAGCGTCCTATCATGTTGATCTTAAAACTATATGATCAGAGTCAATTAAACTCCAACGAGCATTTAAATCATGATAAGCCTCAATACACGGACAATAGGCTGGTACAAAGTTTTTTTGGAAAACTTTAACACAAAACACTATATTTTATACTCCTCTATCTCAGAATTATTTTCATACTTTCCGTTTTCGTCAGTCCCAAAATTATTTCATCTTTCCCTTTTTGGCAAAGAATTTGTGGTTCAAATAATTTCTTACGCATTCTTACACATTTCTCTCTCATCTGCACAACTCTCCATCACACAATACTTACTATCTTAATCTGTGTGTCAATTGTACTTTGGGATTGAGGGAGTACTAAGAAGGTGTTTGTAACTAATTCTGCTTCTGCTTCTTTTTTAAAGCAGAAGCAGATGCAGCATCAGTTTTCAGAAGCTGGTCTCCCCAAACTTCTAAAAAGCAGCTTCTAGGAGTAAATTAGAGCACAAGAAGCAGAAATGCTACTGCCTTTGACGGTCCGACTCCAAGTGAAGATGCTGTTTTTGCTAGAATACAGTATATCACATACAAGATTTTGTATAGTATCTACACGTTTGAGCTAGTAAAGTTGTAAGCTTCTTTGTAACCTTCACTTCTGTTTTGGTGAAGGTTTTCTTGCTTGTTGTGCTGTTTTGGGCTGCCTTGTTTTGGCTGTTTTTGTGCTTCTCCCTCTCCTTTTGAGATGGGTTGTTTGCGTTTTGTTGGCGGTCTGTTTTGCTGTTTTTGGGTTGTCCATGACTCCATGTTTGTGGACAACTTGCATTTTTGTTTCCTGTTTGTTTGTACATCCTTGAACCCCTTTTTCTTGGGTGTTTCTTTCTTAATATACTTACAGTTCACCCAAAAAATAGAGCACAAGAAGCACTTCTACACTTTCACCCAAACACTTGAAACATTTTTTAAATTTGGACCGGGCCGGTGCCTAGATTGACTCCCTCACAACGCTCATGCACAGAGACCAGGGGCGTCTAAAGCATTTTGGATGCCCTAAATAGAAAAATACCTACTATGCACAAATCATATTGAAACATATATTATTAATATTCAAAAGTATAAATTTTAAAACAAACTCGTAGGCCCTAGATAAAAAAAACAAACAACAACAACATCCAATGTCACGCCCCGGACCGCATCCGAGCCACGTAGACAACCGCCGTACAACCCGATAAGAACAACAACAGTTCATCCCTATTGAATTGTACAAGGCGTCCGATTGATTCTATTGCCAAACCGATTAGTAAACACATACAATCAACATCAATATGATAATCAAACAAATGCAGAAATAATAATATGTTTGATACTTAGCCACACGTGGCAAACACGGGCACGCAGGCCCCCAACTGTTTTAATGAAAACATTGTTCAAAAATCCATGAGCAGTTTATAAATTTCAAAAATACGAATGGAAGCACGAACCACGTCTTCCTCCTCGAATGATCACCCTAGGCAAAGGTGCAGGTAGTAGGACTCTAACCTCAACCTGAAAAATGTGAGGGCCCCCGGAGGGGTCAGTACTCCATAGAAGTACTAGTGACAAGCATGATATATGAAGAATAACTAATGTTTCAGACACGAGACCCAAAAATAGGGTGATACATATATATAGATGTCTCTCATCCACCCGATTATACATACTGTATATATACTCGTAAAATACTCAACCCGTAGGTCATTTACCTTAAAGAGTCTTTTAGAGACAAAGTTCTTACCTGACTTTTCTCACTCCTTTCCCGGTTGCCTAGCTCACAAGCTATAGTCTACCTTCGATTCATACTACCGAGTGTTTTAGGATCATTTACCGTCCAAGGCACTCAACCCAACCTGGAGTATTTAAGATCATTTACCGTCCAAGGGTACTCGGCCCCACCTGGAGTATTCTGGATCATTTACCGTCCAAGGGTACTCGACCCCACCTGGAGTATTCTGGATCATTTACCGTCCAAGGGTACTCGACCCCACTTGGAGTATTCTGGATCATTTACCGTCCAAGGGTACTCGACCCCACCTGGAGTATTCTGGATCATTTACCGTCCAATGGTACTCGACCCCACCTGGAGTATTCTGGATCGTTTACCGTCCAAGGGCACTCAATCCCCAGTCTATCCTCTACCAAATCCTAACCCGGATATGGCTAAACTTTCATTCCTTTAACTATGGACAATGCCTAGCCCTATAGTCATATAACAATCCTTAGGATCCAACGTGGGCGGGTCCCACCTGAACGGCCCACGTTAACCTACTCAAAACTGCCCGTTCTGAGCATAACCCAATACCCGGTCGGGTATCCAACCTTACCCGGTCGGGTGGGGTGAGGCAGTAGCCCCTGGAGCCAACTTTACTTTAGACCCGGTCGGGTCTATACCCATACCCGGTCGAGTCTAGTGTGACAGTGGCTTCTGGAGCCATTTTTAATCAAAACCCGGTCGGGTATTTACCCATACCCGGTCGGGTATCACCTTCGTCTTGGCGGTCAACGCTCGTTTGACCGCCCAAACGAAGTCCGATTAACGTGAAATTTTATACACTTATACTTCTTGACGTTCTTGATCCAAAAATACCATTTTTGATCCCTGGAACACCACACATAATAAGTTGTCACATTTTTAATCACCAAACCTACATAACATGCTTTTCAACTATGTTTTATGCAAAATCATGGCATAAGGAAACACTTGATTATTCTTAATCATTCCATAAAACATGTTTTTGATTACTTTAGGTAATCTCATGCCTCACGCAAAAGTTATAAAGCATAAAGCCGTCTTCTCACCTTAATGAAGCTTATGAAGTTCTAGCCTTTCCGGTTTAGCTCCGGCGAAACTCCGGCGAACTTCGACGAACTCCGGCGACAACTCCGACGACCTTTTCAACTCCGTGAAAGTTACTTGAATACCTTAGACAAGTTACTAACAAGGTTTTATCATCATAAAACCCATAGTAATACAAATAACCTCCAAAAGGTTATTTTCCGGCGAACCGGTTACTTTGGCTTCTAAGTCCATTCTTGGACTTAGAACCACCTTCCAACCCCTCTTTCTACACATCCCAACGTGTAGAACAATACTAGGGTGTGAAATATGATTGAATAATCATAAAAGAGTATTGAAGAACAAGAAATGGCATCATGGCATAAGCAAACACTTGGTTATCTTTAATCATTCCACAAAACATATCCTTGATTACTTTAGGTAATCTCATGCCTCACACAAAAGTTATAAAGCATATAGCCGTCTTCTCACCTTAATGAAGCTTATGAAGTTCTAGCCTTCCCGATTCAGCTCCGGCGAAACTCCGGCGAACTTCAACGAACTCCGGCGACAACTCCGGCAACCCTTTCAACTCCGTGAAAGTTCCTTGAATACCTTAGACAAGTTACTAACAAGGTTTTATCATCATAAAACTCATAGTAATACAAATAACCTCCAAAAGGTTATTTTCCGGCGAACCGGTCACTTTGGCTTCTAAGTCCATTCTTGGGCTTAGAACCACCTTCCAACCCCTCATTCTACACTTCCAAACGTGTAGAACAATCCTAGGGTGTGAAATATGATTGAATAATCATATAAGATGGTTTAAGAAAAAAGAAATGGGATTAATGAAGTCATTACCTTGAAAATCTCAAGTTTTCCTCTCTAACTTCCTCTTTTGTCTTCTCTATTTCTCCCCTTCTTCTTCCTTAGCCTTGGTGCGAAAATGGGTGAAGATTAAGGTGGTTGCAGAGATTATCTCACCTCAGTTGATGCCAAATCCGAATGGATGGCTGTAGGGGGTGATGGGAGTCTATTTTGGGCTCATTAGACAATGATGAGGGGTGAGGGGTCCTCTTGAAGTCAATTCTTGTCTCAACCTCCCCCTAGCTCGGCTCTCTCATCCAAAGTCAGCATTTGCACACTCCTCTAACCAACCAAGGCTGGAAAAAAACGTGGGGTGGCCCCCACCCATGTGGGAGGTCATCCCTTTATGTTCCCAAATGTACAATCGGTTCCGAAAGTTGTATTTTCCGGACTGTTTTAATTATATTTTACTTTAGCGGATCAAATAAAATATAAGTCGTGTTCTAAATCCTTATTGGACCTTAGAATGAATATAAGTCCTTCAACTCAATTAAGAAGTCTACGAAATTCCTTTTCAGGCTGTTATTAGATAAATTGTCGATACTGATAATTGGGCCCCGTTTGACCAACCGGTCCACTCTATGCCATTGTCACGGCCCAATTAGAATACCCACCACCATGTACATATTATCTAGGCCAAGATTAATATCATATGTGGTCTCGATAATATCAGGCGGCCCCCACTTCCGATGTGGGCCCCACGTGAATTTTACTATTCACGCAAACGAGATGATAAAAATTTACAATTACGTAAAAATGTGTTTATTCATTTAGGGTTCAATACATAATTTGATAAAGTATAAATACTTGGGGGCTGGAGTCTGGGGAGACGGGCTGTAGAGGGCGCTGGGGTAGGGTAGGGGGCTATGGCTGGGGGCTTGGGTCTGGGGAGGAGGGTGTTGCTGGGGCTAAGAAGGGGATGGGGAGTGGTGACAGGAGTTGTTGGTGGTGATCGAGAGTATCTTCCGGTGAGTGGCGTCACTGAAAAATTCGTTGTCACTATGATCGACGGCGGTCACTGGTCAGAGGTGGTGGTGGATGTCAATGTATTCGTGTCACTGTGGCCAGAATTTGGGGCGGAGATGTCACTATAGAGGTGTCACTGTGGCCGGTGGTGGTGGTGGCGGTGGCGGTGACCCAGACAATGGCGGCGACAATGACACGGCGGCAGTGACATGGGCGACGACGACGGCAATGACATTGAAGTGGTGCAGTGACATTAATAAGCATCTTAGTCACATTTTTGTCCAAATGTAAATGCGGTCACTCTTTTGGAAATTATATTAAATTTAATAATATTGAGGGGAAAACTCCTAATTAAATCATATGGTTGTTCGAAATTCATAAGTTTTAAACAAGATTCTTTTAAGCAATAAAGTATGAGTTTTTTCTCAAATATATTATTAAAATAAAACGTATTTACATAAATATAATTAATAGTTACTCCAGAGTATAATGTAGTATCATGTTTTCATAAATAATCTTTATGAAAAGTATAATCTTTATCATGAAAAGTATATATGTTGATAATAAAATCAACATTGGCGCACCATAGCCAATCAACACTCCCATTGAAACACCTCCCCACCCCCTCTCATCTCCACTTTCCATCAGGTAAACCATAACACAAACTAATACCTTTACAAGTTTATGCGAAATCTCAATTTCTTAACTTCCCTTTCATCTGCTGCTTTGTTAATTTTAGGTGAGCGATCAATGGCTTCGACATCGCTTTCTCAGGCGATAGCAGTTACCGGAACCAGCTTCAGGCCTTCCCGGAGAAGAACTGCCAAAGTGAATTACATTACCGGATTGAACTCATTTGTAGGGCTCAAGGCGCAGAACCAGGTGACCAGACTTGGCCTCCCCGTCAGTGCAGAGGAGTCTTTTGCGAAGATCGTTGGCGCTTTGAGAGAGCCGTCGCGGGGCGGAGGAAGATGCGGTGGAGCTCTGTCTTCTACCTGCAACTACGCCACGGCTGAGATTTTCAAGATCGCGGCCATAATTCCGGGACTTGTTCTGGTCGGGGTTGCCGTCGGCTTCGCCCTCCTCCGCGTCGAGGCTATCATAGAGGAAGCTGAGTGATGATGTGCATCGGCCATTGTATTGTATGTTAATTAAATCATCAAATATTACCGAGTTCTCCCAAATCTGTTGTTGGTTTGATCATAGCGAGAGTTGGACTCCTGAATGGCTGGCTCTCTCAATCCAAAAAGTCTTTGAAATGTTTTTTTGACAATTCTTTCTAGGGAAAAAAGTCTTTGAAAATTACCACAATAATACTAAAACAAAGACATTTTCTCATAATGTGATTTAAGACGCCAAGAGTCTAGAGTATGACTAAATTCACTGTACATAACCATCCATCTAATTTCAGCTAAACAAAGAGACTTCATTGCCCCAATATGTTTGTCTGCGTAAAAATGTATTTTCTTATAAACGGAAACTAAACAAATTTTGAGGTGTGCGACTCTTAACATTTATTGCAGTAAAGGCGAAGGATACACCTTCCTTCAACAGAACACGTGCATGGCCATCAGCATGTGCGAATAATATACTAGGAATAAAACTTCATGTAGTCATATACTCCGTACTAGGAAAGACATACTCCTTTAGTCATAGGACAGATAATTTTCTCTTCTTTCTATTCTATAATAGTACGTAGTATCTTTCTAATCTATAATAGTATTTGTTCTATTCTATATTAATACTAACATCTTTAAACTGGTATAAGATTCAAATCTGGACCTCCTCATTATGAGTGTCACAATTGATGTCATATCAAACCACAAGCTACTTCAAATGAGAGTCTTTCAAGTTTTGTTGTCATTTTGGCAAAAATAATAGCTTCCTTACAAGTCCAAAACCATACACGTGTAAGAAGACTTTTTTTGTGTGATGAACCTTTTTTAATTTGAAATACATAACCAAAATAAAAGAAATTGACAAAAATAACTTTGATGATTGTAATTGTATTCTAATGTTACATTGACTATAAAACTTCCCGTAATAACTTATACTCATATTTTCGTCCACAAATCATTTATTACTAATATTTTAGGAATAAATAAAAAGTTGAATTACTTGAATATGGTTTGACCATGTCACTTAAAATCTTAGATAGATAGATGGATGGGTGAGTGGATGGACATAATATCATACGAAGTACTTGTACTTCCTCCTTTCTAATTTAATTGCAATAGTCAACATTTCATATTTGTCAACACACAAGTTTGACCATTAATATCTTTCATTCTCTATTCGTAAAAAATTTAAAAAATTCATATTTTAAAATTTTAGAATGAGAAGAATTTAACAATATTTTTTAAAAAATTAATTTATAATACATTAATTAATAAAATATAATTAAAGTAAAATATGTGAATAGTGCAAAAAGTTCAATGTTGCGATTAAAAGAGAACAAATGTAGTATAAACTTAATGAATTAATTCTACTTTTGGTCTTACGTGTTATATGTCAATTCCACATTTAGTCCACGTCTTTCACTTTGTCCACTTTTGGTACTTGAGTAATGTTTTTGTGGTCCTTTTCTGACAATTTTAACCATCGAAAACATTACCAGAAGGACCATAGATGGGCGAAAACACAATAATCATGTATCAAAAGTGAACAAAGTGAAAGATGTGGACTAAGTCTATGTTTGGTAAGCTATTTCAGCTCTTAATGAGCTGAATTTTATTAAATCCAGTCAATGATTTCAAACGTAGTGGTGTTTGGATAACAGACTACAAGGGGCTGAAGTTGAAAAAATCGTGTTGCATTACAACGCTAACAAACCAAGCGTCCAACTTCAGCCGTATTTACAATAGACATCCGTTCCTAAATTAACCTTGCTTCTTTTTTCGCTGCATGTCACACCCCTTCAGCAATCTCTTGACCGTCATAATGGCATCTTCATCACTTCATTTACATATTATTTAGCTCCCCCACTCCCCTGTAGTTAGAGTTTCATTTTTATAATATTACAACTCAATTCTTAATAAATTGAAAGGGAAAATTGTGGAGGATCAAACACACCATTCTGTAGCCATGAAACTCAAGAATACACACGCACACGCACACAGTTGAGGGTCTGAGGCAGTCAACAAAGCTTGAATAGAATGAGAAGCTGGCAATGATATATATGTGTGTGTGTATATACACTAAAATTTTCTAAATATGGTATATAAATATGAAAATCATTATAATTAATAAAAAGTTCAATATACAAATATGTGTGTGTGTGTGTGTTTGTGTAAATATATACATGTACATATATAAATACTACGTATATACTAAAATTTTAATATTTATTAAATATGAATATCTTTATAATAAATACGTAGTATTTTGTTTTTTTAATAAATTAGTATGCCCTTTAAACTAATTTCAAATTATCCGGTCATTTTTCAGCTCTTTTTGCCAAACAGGTCTACCTCATTCAGCTGGAAGTTCAGATTCAGCACTTGCATATTTAGCTCCAGACAATAGTCTCTGATTCAGACAATAGCCTATAGTACAGACAACAGCCTCCAGCTACAACTAGTTGTGCCAAACATAGACTAAGGGTATGTTTGGCACAACTAGCTGAAAAGATACTTTTATGAGCTTTTTAGTAATTGTTAGCTTCTAATGACTGAAAAGATCTTAAAAAGAAAAGGCAGTACATGTTTGGTAAAAAGCTGACTGTTTGATTTAGCTTTGTTTGGTATACAAGCTGTTAAGACTAATTAATACTACAAGCTACAGACTTATCTAAGATGCTACTCACTGTAGCATCTCAAAAAAGATCTTTTATTTTTATAAAAGCTCTTAAAAATGGCATGCCAAACATACAACTAGAAGTTTTTAAAGACTTTTTAAATAGTATAAAAGCTAGAAGTCGGGGACTTATGCATGCCAAACATAGCCTAAATGTGGAGTTGACCTAAAACTCGTAGAACCAAAAGTGGAATTTATTTTAATACTCTGTAGGTTATTGAGGACCAGATTAGTTTTTGTAGATTTTATTTCGAATTTTGTTAATATTGTTTGTATTTTTTTAATTTAATTGTTGAATTATTTCAGTCTCAGATTAGTTCTGATCAGATCATATCGGATCGATCCAAAATCAGATTTCGACAATTGTAAAATACACATAATTTTTCTTTTGAGAATAAAATACACGGAATTGAGTGTTTGTATGTTGTAGTTAGTTGGAAACTTGGAATCAGATTTAAAGGCATTTGGTAGTCATTGTTTGCTAATTCGATTGCTTTTTGTTTAACAAGCCAGATTACATTTTTATGGATGACTTTTTTATGGACGACTAATGATGTTTTTACTTGGGTTTATTTCAGTCTCAGACCAGTTCTCACCAGACCATATCGGGTCAGACCAAATCAAATTCCGATAGTTATAAAATACATGGAGACTAGACATTTATCAGACTACATCATAAAATTTCAGTCTAGGTAAAGACATTCTAACTCTATGTCTATTAGTGGGGTTTGCAATTGTGTCAATTATAACGCTGACAACATGTTCCTACACCGCCAAGTATAGTTGTAGTTCTTAGTCATCCTTAGGTTTTGCCAGCAAAGGAGGTGTTGTCATGTATTCTTTCAGCTGTTGCAATTTTTCTCATGTTGCTCCGTCCACTCGAACCTTTTATTCTTTCTAAGGACGTCATAAATCAATCGACATTTCTCTGACGTCTTGGATATGAATCGGTTGAGTGCAGCAACTCGTCCGGTCGGCCTCTGGACATCTTTGACGGACTTAGGTGATTCAATGTCGAAAATGGCCCGAACTTGTTCCGGACTTGCTTCGATCCCTCATTCGCTGACAATTTGTGCATTTTACCGGGTTGAGCTTCAGGTTGTATTCTCTCACTTTTTAAACGACTCCAATGTAAACTTCCATAGTTTTTTGACTTGACCAACATGTCGTCAGTGTAAACTTCCATAGTTTTTACTAACTGATCTTTAAACATCATTGTGACTAGCCTCTAGAATGTTGCACCTGCATTCTTTAGACCAAAAGGCATAACAATGTAACAATATGTACCTGTTTCATTCATGACTGATGTCTTCTCTTGATCGTCCGGATGTAGTTGAATTTGGTGATAGCCATTAAACGCATCCATGAACGACAACATTTTGTGCCCTGCCGTTGCGTCTGCCAGTACGTCGATGTGAGGCATTGGGAATGAAACTTTCGAACATGCTTTGTTCAGGTCTATGAAGTCGACACATACTCATCATTTTGCTTTTTTACCCCTCTTCTTCCCTTTCTTTTAGCGTGCGACGACGACATTAGCAAGCCAGTCAGTGTATTTCACTTCTCGAACTTTGCCAGTACGTAACAATATTTCAATCTCCTGACTGACAATGTCATTCCTTTCCCGGGCAAAACATTTTCTTTTCTGTTTGACAGGCTTATGTGACCGATTCGCATTCAATCTGTGAGTGATGATCTTTGGGTCGATGCCTATCAAGTCATCATGACTCCAAGCGAAGACATCTTTGTGCTCTATGAGAAAGTCGATGAGTTTGCCTCTGAGATGTGTCGACGCATTTTTGCTGATGCGACGATCCGTTCTGGATGTTCTGGATCAATGAAGATATCTTCAGTTTTGTCATCATCTTCCTCCCCCAGAATGGAATCGCCCTTTGATTGCTATGTTGATATCGTTGGAGTTGTGTTCGGCTTCATGGTGATCTGATAGCAAGACTTGGCGGCGGTTATGTTGCCTTGGATGGATTGCACTACCCAAGGTGTCAGAAATTTGAAAACCTGATGATAAGTTGACAGAATTGCCCCCATTTGGTGTAGCCAAGGTGTTCCCGGCATTATGTTGTATGCGGGCAGATCTTGGACTACATCAAATTTCACCTGCAAGTTAAGACCATCATGTTGTACCCCATCTGCTTCAGCACTTTCATGGCGGTGATGTTGGCAGTGCTTCCATTGTCGACCAAAACCTATTTCACTTTGCAATTGGCTACCCGAAGTGAGATGACTAAAGCGTCATGGTGGACATCGACGGGATCAAACATGTTTGTTTCATCGAAGGTGATCGATACATTTCTCCAGTCATCTTCTCGTCTGGCGACTCGGCATACATGTGACGACTTGTCTCAGAAGTACTCCTCAGCGTGTCTTTTCGCTGCAGAGTAGGTTAGGTTAGATAAATCAGATCCACCGTTAATAAAATTAATTACCTTGTGAGGGGCAGAAGGTGACGGGGGTCGCTGCTCAATTGTCGACGACTTCTAATCTCGACGCAAAAGGGATTGGGTGTGTTCGGACATTATCTCAGTATGGTATCCATTCCTCAAGAGGTAAGCCACTTCTTTTTCTCAATGCGACACAATCCTCTCTATTGTGCCCAATGTCACTTCTTGGGCCAATGAACCTTTTCTCCAATTTTGTCAAGAGAGTTGATTAGTCCTGAGACGTCAACATTGAAGCAGTACTCTGGAATGGATGGCGGCGGATTAGTCACTACCAATGCCACCGATCGGTCTTCATTTTTTGTAGAGGGCTTCCCGGTTCTGTAATCATGCTTTCTCGATATGCTCGCCTTTCATTACCCTCCTTCATATCCATCTAGCCGTTGATGGGACTGTTGATCTTCTTCGAGCCGGATGAATGCCAACATCTTGGCCTGGACATCCTCGAAGGTACGACATAGGTATTTGGTCAACTTTCGATATAATTCTGAGTCATTCAATAATCCTCTTCTGAATGCTTCAACTGTTGCCGATATTTCGCATCAGGGGATCGATACCTTCTCTTTCTTGAACCGGTGTAAGAAATCCCTTAAGGACTCATTCCATCTTTGGACAACTCGATAAAGGTCACTGGTCTGCTTCTCAATGACCCAACTACTTATGAATTGCTGATTGAATAAGTTGATGAGTTCCGCGAAGCATTTGATTGCATGAGAAGATTGCATGTACACTTCTCATGTGGCTTACCAACCAATGGTGGTGTCATAAGTGGTAAGATAATAAATATTTAAAGTTGTGCATGGGTTGGAAACTTGCAATTGATACCTTCATTAGGCAAAAAAAAATCCTAAAAGGTTAATGATCAAGTTCGCAAAAGAGGTCGAAACTCAAAAGTAGTGTTAGAGTGAAGATAGTAGTTGGTGAATAGTATAAGAAAATGATACATACGCAAAGTGTAGAAACTTGTTTGTCGGTTTTGCAGGAATGAGGCGAGATGTCAATAACATTGTGTCTCAAGTTCAATGCATGCATACATACATGATACGTGTGTGTATATATACTCCCTCCGATTCCTAAACAAGTTCCACATTTGACTTCACACATATTAAGAAAATAAAATTGACTTTACTGTGGAGTGCACTGTTTGGCACTGTTTGAACACTGTTTGGCACTGTTTGACACTGTTTTGATGTAGATAATAAGGAAATATTTAAGTGGAACTTAATTTTGAATCTGCCCGAAAAGGAAAAGTGGAACTTGTTTCAGAAACGGAGGGAGTATATAATAGATCAAATACAAACTATGCTTAAAATACTAACCTACAAACTTAATAATATGCATTATTTTGAACTTCAATATACAGTAAACAGAATGTAAAGATGCAGAAGTGAGATCACATACAAACTAGTCATCTCATTCAAATCATCTTTACATTATTTGCATTGCACATTGAAGTTTAAAGTGTTTCATATTATTCAAGCCATAAAATAGCAGTTTCATATTTACATTATTTGTATTGCATATTGAAGTTCAAATAGTGCATCATTACATTATTTGTACTGCATATTGAAATTCAAAGTGTTGCATATTATTGAGTTTGTAGATTAGTAACTAAGGATAGTTTATATGTGATCTCACCCCTATATATATATAGGAAAATTCTCAGATCCGAACGTTCGGACCTGAGGCACCATCCGAACACAAAATCAACTCAAAATGTGATCGGGAAGACCGTCAAATACCTTTTGGAAGTTGACTGCGTTTTTCTATGTATAATTTTGCACAATTACCTTAGAAAATTTATTTGACTACCTAACCGATCGGATTTTGAGCTGAAATTTTTTGTAAATAAACTAGATTTGATGAACATACCATAAAAATTCATCAAAAAATTCTACCGGGAATTATCTCGAACAACGGTGTTCGGACAACGTTCGGCCCAAAACCTGCTGGACAGGAGAATGACTATATATATATATACACACACACACACATGTATATGGTTGCAGTTCCGTTAAAAACCTTCCTTATCGTGCAAACTGCAAAACGACACTTTCGGCTCAATTTGGTTCACTTCAAAACTCATCTTTTTCACTTCAAAATTGTACGTCATTGTGAAAAAGTGCAATATAGAAACCTAATAGTGCATCACAATGGATAAAAGGTGATCGATTTGTAATTTTCACCGGAATCATATATATATATATATATATATATATATATATATATATATATATAACAATAATAATAGTATATATATATAGGAAAATACAAAAATGTAGGGATCATCAAACACTAAACAGCACGAAATGATATAGATTTTCTGTCTGGCCACGATTCTATTTTCTGAATATACTTCACAGGCACTACTCCATCAAAACCTTCAGTCAGGATGACTTTGTTTTCAGAGATGTAAAGCTTCATTCCTTCTGAAGTAAAATGAGAGATAATCATGGGGCATTAGATGATGATTCAAAGGGATCACCTAAGAAGCTGTTCTGTTTGTCTTAATCTTATTACTTATTCCTTATTCTTATTTTATTCAGATCAGATCAGAAAAATTCAGATCAGCTCAAATCAGAAAGATTCAGATCAGAAGCATTCAGATTAGTTCAGAAATATTCATACCAAATTGGAAGCATTATATTATTATCTATTATATATATTACTATTACTATTATAATAATAATTATTATTAATATAATTACTATTACTATTATATAATATATATAATTATTATTAATATAATTACTATTGTTATTACTATAAGTATTTGATTTTTTAATAAATGCTAAAATTGAGTACTCTGTACCAATCCGTCTCATCTAAATATATAATACTGTCACTGTGACACCGCACCCGAACGTCCAAGAAATTTAAATTTAATTTCAAAGCTTATGTATTGAATTTCCCTATTTTCGAACAATTGTAAAACGATTAAAGTTTTACGAACGTATGATTAATCATATTACTATTTGAGCTCATATGATGGTAATGGACTTCTAAATAATTAATTAGGCCATATTATTGATATTGGGGCCCAACATCCTTAAATAAAGATATACAACCCCTCGGTACAATGTAAGTGCGGTCGGGCAGCACAAATGTTATTTTGAGCCTAACCTGCTAAAAATAGTAATTTGTCAAGAATGACGTCCTAGACCCATTGGAGGATGACCCACAAGGTTGGTAGCCCAGATATATAAATATTAATATCATAAATGAATGATGGAAAGATTGGAGAAGAATACAAATACCTATGGTCCCATACTCCCATCTAATATACATCAAATAAATTATTGGGACCACCCTACACATATTAGATATCAATAATATGATGTAGAAGGTTGACTTGTTCTAAATAAATTGGGGAGAGTACAAAAGTACATGTTATGACAAAAGATAAAAACAATAGGACCCATCTTTCAACTTTTGGATGTATTGGTAGAAATTTTACTCCCAAATTAATTAGGGGACATGAGAGTACGTCCCACACCTTCCTAGCACCTGCAAAACAGGTAGAATAAGTTAGAACACAAAAATGAGACGGACCTATTGAGTTGAGAGCTCAAACAATACAAAAGAGAAATAAAAGAGGAGGATCATCCCATGTTTGATTGGAATCAAACACCCTACCTATTTTTTGTGAACCACATGTGAGGATAAGCATTTGAAAGCTTCTAAACACCTCTCCCTCACCCCCATTCGAACTAAAAGGATAAGGAGGAAGGGAGAGCCGCACAACCCAAGAAAAAGGAAGAAGAAGGAGAGCTGGCCCCAGGGAATCATTTGCGTTGTATCTTGAGAAATACACTCCCAATCGAGGCGTGTAAGGTGCCAAAAGAAACCTCTCAAAAAGAGGAATCCATAGAGGTGCGGTTTGTGTCAAACGGGGCAATTTAAGGCCTCCAAATCATCCGAACAGAACGCAACCTCGCAGAATATGTTTTTGGTATTCAAAGTAAGTTCGAATCTAAAACCTTTCTTTCTATTGCCTAAATCCTATGTATGATTGAAGAACTATTATACACTAGTTTAAGTGTATAAAATGTTATTATAGAGTAACTTTTATTGTTGGAAAGGTTAGATACTAACCTAGACAAAACCTTGAAAGGTTAGGGAACGAATTCGCCGAAAAACACCCGTTCTAGGAACTATTTTCGTGTCGACGTTTAGGGGTTGAGCTAGCACTGTGAGGAGGCTGCGTAACACTCAATTTTAAGCAAGGAATCAGTTCTTAATCCACCTTGGCCGAAGTTTGACCATTGAATCAAGAAGGAAAAATTTAAAGCTCATTTAAGGTGAGGATCGACATCTAGTTGCTTACCACTTGTAAGTTAAGCATGAGATTACCTAAATGCCTAAATCATGTTTTTCATGGATTATAATGACTGAATATTGATGAAATATTGATATACTAGATAAGGGATGAAATTGCAAATGATTTGAAATCATATTGATAAAAATGGAGTTAAATGAACTATTGTGTGAAATAGGCATTTTCACTCATGTGTGAATTGTGTAGGTACATAAATGATTAATTGTGTACGGCGGATTGTTAGAACTGAAGAAAAGGTTAACTGAGGCACCGGTACTCGCCTTACCGAAACAAGGTATGGGGTACGATGTCTACAGCGATGCAAACATCCAAGGACTTGGATGTGTATTGATGCAGAATGGGAGGGTGATTGCCTACGCTTCACGACAGTTGAAGAAGCATGAAGTAATTATCCTACTCATGACTTAGAATTGGGAGCAGTGGTCTTTGCACTAAAGATATGAAGGCATTATCTCTACGGAGAGACATGTCACATATACACTGACCACAAGAGTCTGAAGGTCCGAGAACGCATGCTAGCGGGACCAGTAGAGGATTTGTCACGCCTCGGACCTATCCGGACACGTCAACAATTAATCATTTATGTACCTACACAATTCACACATGAGTAAAAATGCTTATTTCACACAATAGTTCATTTAACTCCATTTTTATCAATATGATTTCAAATCATTTGCAATTTCATTCCTTATCTAGTATATAAATATTTCATTAATATTCAGTCATTATAATCCATGAAAAACATGATTTAAGTATTTAGGTAATCTCATGTTTAACCTACAAGTTGTAAGCAACTAGATGTCGATTTTCACCTTAAATGAGCTTTAAATTTTTCCTTCTTGATTCAATGGTCAAAGCTTCGGCCAAGGTGGATTAAGAACTGATTCCTTGCTTAAAACTAAGTGTTACGCAGCCTCCTCACAGTGCTAGCTCAACCCCTAAACATTGACACGAAAACAATCCCTAGAACGGGTGTTTTTCGGCGAATTCGTTCCCTAACCTTTTCAAGGTTTTGTCTAGGTTAGTATCTAACCTTTCCAACAATAAAAGTTACTCTTTAATAACATTTTATACACTTAAACCAGTGTATAATAGTTCTTCAATCATTCATAGGATTTAGGTAATAGAAAGGAAGGTTTTGGATTCGAACTTACTTTGAATACCAAAAACGTATTCTGCGAGGTTGCGTTCTATTCGGATGATTTTGAGGCCTTAAACTGCTCCGTTTGACACAAACTGCACCTCTATGGATTCCTCTTTTCGAGAGGTTTCTTTTGGCATCTCACACGCCTCGATTGGAAATGTATTTCTCAAGATACAACACAAACAGTGAGCTCCACGAACTGGAATGAATCCCTGCGGTCAGCTCTCTTTCTTCTTCCTTCTTCTTGGGTTGTGCGGCTCTCCGTTCCTCCTTATCCTTTTAGTTCGAATGGGGGTGAGGGAGAGGTGTTTAGAAGCTTTCAAATGCTTATCCTCACATGTGGTTCACAAAAAATAGGTAGGGTGTTTGATTCCAATCAAACATGGGATGGTCCTCCTTTTTTATTTCTCTGTTGTATTGTTTGAGCTCTCAACTCAATAGGTCCGTCCCATTTATGTGTTCTAACTTATCCTAACTGTTTTGCAGGTGCTAGGAAGGTGTGGAGCGTTCTCTCATGTCACCTCATTAATTTGGGAGCAAAATTTCTACCAATACATCCAAAAAGGAAAGATGGGTCCTATTGTTTTTGTCTTTTGTCATAACATGTACTTTTGTACTCTCCCCAATTTATTTAGAACAAGTCAACCTTCTACATCATATTATTGGTATCTAATATGTGTAAGGTGATCCCAATAATTTATTTGATGTATAATTACAAAAGAAAACCTTACTCCCATTATTTAGCCTAATAATGCCAAAGATGGGACCATAGGCATTTGTATTCTTCTCCAATCATTCCATCATTCATTTATGATATTAATATTTATATATCTGGGCTACCAACCTTGTGGGTCATCCTCCAATGGGTCTAGGACGTCATTCTTGACAAATTATTTTGAGCAGATTAGGACCAAAATAACATTTGGGCTGCCCGACCGCACTTACATTGTACCGAGGGGTTGTATATCTTTATTTAAGGATGTTGGACCCCAATATCAATAATATGGCCTAATTAATTATTTAGAAGTCCATTACCCTCATATGAGCTCAAATAGTAATATGATTAATCATATGTTCCGTAAAACTTTAATCGTTTTACAATTGTTCGAAAATAGGGAAATTCCATACATAAGCTTTGAAATTAAATTTAAATTTCCAGGACATTCGAAAGATGTTTCACTGTACTAAAGTCTCGATGGTGGATACTACATAGGATGCCGTTAATGGAAATTCAATATCAACTTACGATTATGGTATCAACTTTCGCACTGCATAACTTTATCCGTCTTTACGAGTTGGATATTCCAATTTCAAGTGCAATCACCATTGAGCCAAGTACCGACACTAGCATGTTTAATCCAGAATGCAAACAAGAAATGGAAAAAGTGCATGCACAAATAGCTACTGAAATTTGACGCTCAATTCGACGTTAAATGAATATGGCACTAAGTACATTTATATTTATTATTTTTTGCAATTGAGTTGTAAGAACAAACTCATGTGTTTGTCATTTCTACGTTACTCTCATTATGTTCAAGAATTTTATATTGCTTCGTTTGTTGTCAAATATTTATATTATTATTCAAAAGGTTATTAATATCACTACTACTACTACCTATTACTACTACTACTACTACTACTACTATTGTTATTATTATTATTATTATTATTATTATTATTATAGTTACGCAGTATTATTTTTATTATACTTATTAAATAATAATAATAGTTATTATTACTATTATAATTATTATTGATATTATTATTATTGTTATTATTCTTATTATTATATACCAATTTAGAAAGTTAAGATCAGATCAGAAGGATTCAGATCAGATCGGAAACATTCAGATCCGATCAGACAGATTCAAATCAGAACTTAAAAAATTCAGATCAAGAGAACAGCTTCTAAGTCATCTATTGCTTCTAGTTTTCAAATTAATTACCTTGCAATGCTTTTTTGACATCCAGAAAGATGAGCATATTGACATCTCGCCTCATTCCTGCAAAAACGACAAACATGTCAAACCAATGAGAATATTGAACATTTCTACACTACGTATGTATCGTTCTCTCTTATACTATTCACCAACTACTGTCTTCATTCTAACACTACTTTCGAGTTTCGACCTCTTTTGCGAACTTGATCATTTACTTTTTAGGATATTTTTTTGCCTGATGAAAGTATCAATTGCAAGTTTCCAACCCATGCACAACTTTAAATATTTTATTATCTTACCACTAATGACACCACCATCGGTTGGTAAGCCACATGAGAAGTGTACATGCAATCTTCTCATGCGTTTGAGACCTTGCTCTAAAATCGATTGCATATCCTTCTTGTAGGTCCCATGCACACAAACTGCACATTAAACATAGGCATAAGAAAGATGTACTACTGCAAGCTTACAACATACTAGAGAAAGAATGTTCAAAGCACATGTCCATCATATCTTTACCTGGCACTTCGTCAGCTGAAATGATTGGTTTCAACAAGCTTTCTGTTTCAACCATCTATCCATGCCGTTCCCAGAAAAGAGAGAAACAATTCAATCAAATTCCTTGCTAGAATAAAGCACTCATTTGAAAGCATAGGGAGAACTGAAATTGCATATTACATAATGCCTATACTAAAAGAATGATCAAGCAACGATGCGAGTAGTAAGCACTATGCGTCAGTACTTTCAATGTTGTGATCTTTTTAAATGTTCATTTTTCTGGTAGAGGGAATGGATACCGCACAATGAAGATAGCTTAATACGTCAGGAACTCCTCCCAGTTCCCACCCCACCCCCACCCAAAAACACAAAGAACAGAGTGCTGTTTGACCAAGGTACAATTTAAACTTTGATGTGGAAAGCTGTTCTAACCTCTAAGTCATTGACCCTCTCTGTATATTTTGAAATTTATCCTTGACTAAATTATCAAAGTTATCATATCTAGGGAGGTTTTGTGATTGCTTCTACTTTATAAAACTAAATTTTAAAGTGATTTTAGAGAAAGTGCTTAATAGTAAAAGTTGGTAGTGATTGAGAAAAAAATGTTTTTGAAAAAGCGAAAGATGGTAATGTTTGGTAAAAAGAGTGTTTTGTGTAATAGAAAATGTGAAACACACTTTAAAACACCCATACACCTGCTTCCAGCTATCAGCTTTGAAGTGCTTAATTTAAACAGAAGTTTTCACTTGAAAACCCTCATTTCAGCTTTTTAAAGCCACAAGCTGAAAAACACTTTTTAAATTTTTTGCTAACACTCCATTAACATATGCATCACTATATTACTAATCTATAAAAACACCCATACACCTGCTTCCAGCTATTAGCTTTGAAGTGCTAAATTTAAACAAAAGTTGTCACTTGAAAACCCAACCCTCATTTCAGCTTTTTAAAGCCAAAAGCTGAAAAACACTTTTTAAATTTTTTGCTATAACTTATACATCACTATATTACTAATCTATAAAAAATTACATGAAAAAATAGTTCCAGTTAATCCAAGAAGATTCCATTTTTTTGTTCAGGGGAGTACATAATATCTGGAAACCAATGGATTACCTTTATTGAGTGCCCTTGATTTGCACGTACCCAAAGCTCTCCACTTTCTTCTAACAAGCTTAACCTTTGTTTGTTATCTTTTCTGACTGCCTGAGATATATGAGAAAGAAGTGTAACATTAATTTGCAAAATATGCAATACCTGAGACGGGGGTCATAAACTGTTCAAGCTAGAACTATGGTAATTGTCATATTTCAAATACAATCTACTATTTCTATTAATATGCCTTTTAACATAGAATAACATCACATTCAATTCAATAAATACAATCTACTATTTCTAAACCCGAAAAGGTTTGCTATATTGACTTTGCTTGGTCAATGATGGCAAAATTGTATAAAATTTATACTTTTATGAAAATATTTTGAACAAGGAACATTCTGATATAATTTTCATATTCAAAACAAGGTTTGAAATTGCGTAGTCGTGGCGTTTTTATAAATACTGCATATTGCGTACGCCTCATTGCGCAACGAGGCGTATGCCTGAGGGTTGAGGCGTAATATATATATATAGGAAAATTCTCAGGTCCAGCACCTTCCGGTCCGAACACCGTCCGAACACCGCCGTTTGGGGCGGTTTCCGGTGGAATTTTTTGATGAAAATTTTTTAGAATGTTCCTCATCAAGTCTAGTTTATCCAAACCAAATTTCTGCTCAAAATTCGATCGGGAAGGTAGTCAAATAATTCGTTGAAGTTAACTGCATTTTTCTATGTATAATTTGGCGCAGTTAACTTCAACGAATTATTTGAATGCCTTCCCGATCGAATTTTGAGCTCAAACTTGGTATGAATAAACTAGACTTTATGAGGAACATGCTCAAAAAATTTCATCAAAAATTTCCGCCGGGAACCGCCCCAAACGGCGGTGTTCGGACGGCATTCGAACGGGAAGGTACTGGACAAGAGAATGACTCTATATATATAGGGGAGGGTTCTAGTGAGAACCCCTCTTAAAATGAGAACCCGTGAGAACCCCAAGGAACCGGTAGTATTTTTGGCTGAAATTTTTTGTGTATGTTCCTCATCAAGTCTAGATCATCTATACCAAATTTGAGCACAAAATTCAATCGGGAAGGTCGTCAAATGATTTTTGAAAGAAATCTAGTCCGATATAAAAAAAATCAGCCAAAAAATAACACCGGTTCCTTGGGGTTCTCACGGGTTCTCATTTTAAGAGAGTTAAATGTTATATTAAAACAAACCATAAGAGGTCATAGTCCTAGCAAAGTAATATGTTCAAACTTCAAAGTACCATAGAATACTAAAACTTTCTGAATCGTTTATAAAAAAAAATCTAAGATATGAGGGTTTAAATTAATTAGATTGATCGACTGAAAAAATCCAATCAATAACTAGTGGTTTGAAATAGGGATCATAACATCAATTATAAAAATTTAAAAGTGTATTATTTGGGCCCACACTCCCAACGCCATATGCAATGCCTTTTACGCCATAGTCTAGGAATTAGCTAAGGCGCGCCATGAGGCGCAATTGCATTGCGCAATTACAAACAATGATTCAAAATAATTTCCTATTAGAAAATATCATGTTGAATAAAAAATTACAACTTCTGTTTATAATACTTTTAACTTGCATCTATACTACAATTTCTTGAAACTTACAATGCTTACAAAGCGAAATAATGAGCTTAAACCCAACAGAATTTGGAAACCTAGACCTAGGAAACCCTAGTCTCAAAAACTTGGTACAATCATATCCTGTACTTTAACATAAAGTGAAGGGGGGAATATAACAATGCAAAAAGTGAATGCTTCACAGACCTTGTTGACAGCAAAATCAAAATATTGGCATAGGTGCAAGTGAATTTAACATAGAAGCAATAGACAACACAAAAAGGAGAAAGTCTTTGCTGAAAACAAACCTCTTTCATATCATCAACTGTGTGCAATTTCAACGGAATATTGGCAAATGTTTTTAGATGTAGTTTCAATAGATCTTGGACCTTGACAAACCCATCGCTCCTCATCTTCAAATTTAGCTCTGAAGCCATGTGACGAAGAATTCGAACTCTGAAGTTATTGCCCACGAAAAAATGTATTCATACCCACTTGTTTTTATTAACAAATACATAGGTGATTTAGAACAAGGAATTTGAATGTATTCAGGGCTTCAGGCATACTGGCATAGTGATCTTTGTCAAGCTATCAACTAACAATTTTGACAAAGATCAGCAGTGCAAAGCTTTTGTGAAACAACCTAAGAAACATACATTTTAAGTGGAATACAACTCACAGTTTCACACCATTTTCCACTTCAAAACAAATAGTCAAATAACACTAACATGATAATCTTTAGAGCGGCCATTGTAAAAAAAAGACAAGGGAATGCTTGCTCCTTATACACCCTTGTGGTGAGACTCTTCATCGGACCCTCACCTTGCAGGGATGCCAATGTGCCCCAGGCTGGCCCTTTTCTATTTATTAATTATTATTATTATTATTATTATTATTATTATTATTATTATTACTTGGGGTGTGTTTCCTTAGTACAAAGTAATTACCTAATTGTATCATCATTAAGGAGTGATGTTGTTGACTTGTTGTATCATCATTAATGAAAAAACTAGTGGTGGACAGCATAAAAATAAACCAAAAACATTGCAAATGCATTTCCAGAGAAATGCATAACATAACAAATAAAAGTTACCAAGGATTGAACATACAGTAATCGACCAAGAGCATCAATTTTATCTTTTTCAGAGCCACCACCAAGACTGCTCGACCTCTCACGGTTACCCCTTGCATTAAATCCTCTCCCTCTACCGTGGCTAGTGTAATTCAAATCACAATAACAAAACAATAACATGAAAATCTATTAACATAAAAAACTGACAGTTAGACCAAAACCGAGGGAAATGTAATTCAAAAAATCTTAGAGATACCTGTGCTTTGAAGGTGCAAACACAGAAAAAGAAGAGGTTGAATTTTTGTGTGAATCCATTAAAGTTAATATGTGAAAGCTGGACTGCAGAGAGAACGGTATAGAGAAAGTGCTGGGAAGTTGAAGAAGTCCGTTGATGCAGTTTCGAAGAAACCGAAATCCACTATAATTCACTAAAGAAGCAGTACGCATAAGGGAGCCTGACTGATTGAGAAAGTTATGCTATGTAAGATGGTGATAGGCGATGGCCAATTCACTGCAAAGCAATACAACAGAGACAGCATTGGAATTGCAGAAGTAAAAATATCAACATAAACTGCCAGATATAGAAGGGCTGAAGGGGTACAAAAGCAACAACAGAAAAAACAACATGTGCAACCAACGATAAAGTGGTAGAGATTCTAGGGGGGTCTCCAACAAAAAATTTCACACAAAAAGTTTGGTAATGATATATGGTGTATTGATAATGACGCACATGTGGAAGATATGTGGTTGATTATAAATGGAGTTGACCATTAACCAAGTGACTGTTTTGTGGTTCCTGAAACAATTTTGAGCTCTGAACCCACCTAAAGAACGAGTGAAATCAGTTAATGCTCTCACTCAGCAATCCAGCATCTTCACATACAGTTTTATTTTGCCTAAAGCAATCAAAACTGATAAATACAGATTTATTACTGAAGATATTTTGATGTAATCGATACTCCCAATATTCTTAAAAGTAAAGAATGCTTCACAGTACAGATGCTCCAAAATAATGGATACTGCCAACATTTAAAAAAACCAGATTAAAAAATTATAAAAATACGGCCTTGTTATTCTTTTATAACAAAGAAAGTAGCTATCAGGAAACTCAAAATGAGGTCTGTAGAGTGGTTGTTATCTTACAAAATGGGCTAACTAAAGGTCCCTAGCCCCTAGGGTAGTTGTTTCGGACTTGAAATCTTTTTACCATTGATCGAATTTTTTAATAAATAAACCATCTACAATCTACAATTATGTTCATATATGTACAAATGTACAACTAAAACAAGACTTAACTTTTTATTTGAGAATACTATGTATTTGATATGGTTGGAAGTTAAGGTAGCTAGCACTGAATATGGAAGAATAAAATACATGGATATGGAAGAGTAATGAATGGTCGATCAGAAGTAGTATGGCGGTGAGGCGAACGGGTGCGGCAGCGGTGGATGGTCGGTGGTACCGCGGTGGGTCTGTCGCATGGGTGCGCCGGACGCCGGGGCAGTGGTTGCTCTTTGGCTCTTCCTTGTCTGGAGTGTGGATGTAGATGGGCGATATGGATTGCGCAGAGGAAGATGCGGACAGCGGAAGAGCATCACAGCCATGAAGCGAACCTTTTTGAGTGTTGGGACCCTAGACTGAACGTGTGCAGTACTATTAGGAGTTTTTTCAGCGGCCCACGCTTTCTTTTATGCAAATTCTATTTGCCGCTACTTATTGGGATCTCCTATTTATTTACTAACGGATAATTCTCAAAATAAGAATAAAAAAGTTTGAAAATTTTAAAATATGATCGTCATGTCAATACAGGAGTAATTACTGGTATTGTCAAAACATGACACCAATTAGTCTTACTTGGGGAATAAAAATATGATAGTCCTATTTTGAAATATAAAAAACGTTTTCAGGTCTATTTAGGGTAATTTCTCAATTGCTTACTTAGTGAGTATTTATCAGGTACAATCACATATTGGGGTAGTTTGGTTGCTGGCGTTTACTGCCTCAACACGCTGCTTATTGCAGCGTTTTAGGTAAAAAGTTGGCGTTTTGCTAAAAAGCTAATAGCCAAACAACACCATTTTCTGTAATAAATAAATATTTTTACACTGAGTAATTCTTAATATACCTGATGAAGTGTATTCCGATATACCCCAGGGGTATCGTAATCGCCGTCATAAGTGTCACGGATTTACTCCGGAGCACATAAAAATACTAAGTCCACAACTGGGACCGACCCTGACCACGACCCCGACCAGCCAAGCTCGGGAACAAGCACCAGACAACAAATCAGCTAACGATCAAAGGGCCATCCAACCTCCGACCTCGACCACCGAGGTCGAGAAAACACCAGGCTCAAGAATCAACCAAACTCGACATGTTATGAGCCCGACCTCGAACGCACCGAGCTCAGCACCAACTCTGACCTCGGGCGTCAACACAGAGTCAATCAGCGTCAGCACCAGGCAGTCAACAATCTCAGGGACGGGACCAAAGACAGAAGGTGAATTCCCCTGCTATGAGCCCAAGTCCCCGAATACGGACCTCGATGAGCTTAGGGACTAAATTCATAATCGCATGAGCACCTGATAACTTCCAGTCTTCCTGTCCCAGGAGCAAACATCATTGACCCACTTCTGCTACATCCATTAGTTACATCATAATCAACATTTATGACATGTCCCCAAAAAGTCATCTCAACTGATGGACTCAAAGATTTGATACGGCCAGCAGAGCTTGGTAGTATCATAATAATTACAGGCTTCTCATACTGGGTAACGTTGGTCTCTCTATTCCAGTAATAAAAAAAAAAGATGACACCCCATCCCAGTGATAAAGATATCCAGTGTGGCCATCAACCAAACCCTTCCACGGCTTTGAGAGGCTTGGGTCCTCAGCCAAATGTTGGATGTCAGCAGAAGGGAGAATCGCAGTGGCAGCCATATTGGAGATTCGCTCTTAAATATACAAAAACACATTATAACTATGAGGCCAGATCGTCTGGCTAATGGCATTATTTGGAAGAATTATATAAAGGTATCGAATTGGAAATTTAATACTACTAAAAACAAACAAAAAATCCAACGAGGACCTAATTAACTACAGGAACAACATAAAAAACATTACGACTCATTTATGGCCACCAATTATTTAACTTCAGGTCTGAAAGCTGAAATCTTCCATTTAAAAAGCAATACCTTTAATTGAAAAGGAAAAGGAAGAATAGAATCTAAAATTAAGAAAATTGCAAATGATATTAACATAGAATTTAACCTCAAAAGGATCCGCACGAATGAACTCAAATTTATGAGATCCGTTCAAAGAATCAGCACGAATGGACTCAAAATTATGAGATCCGTTCAAAATATCAGCACGAATTAATTCTGTCTTAATTCAGAACTGGGATACACAAAACGGGACCCTGTGAACATGAAAACAGAATATGTGTATATATATATATATATATATATATATATATATATATATATATATATATATATATATATATATATATATATATATATATATATATATATATATATATAATGAGAGAAATTGTTACCGTTTCAATTGAATGTATTCTTGGTGAAATGCAGTGAAGAACGCGGTGAAGGTAGCGACTAGCGAGTAGCGAGCCGTGGGCTTTTGGATGACAGGAGCTCTGCAAAGAAGATGAAGCGGCAGGGAGGATCCTGGGTTGGACTTGAGAGACACAAATAAATAACAGGCTTCTCCTCGAGGCTAGTAATGGGCCACAGTAAAATGGGCTGGAAAATGGCTTTAGCTGTTGGAATAAAAACGCTTTCTTTAGACACACATTTTTCACGCTTGAAAACCCGTTTGATAACATCTATTTTTAGTTTCTAATTTTCATCAGTTTTTTTTATCAAATGCTTATGACCTGTTTACAAAGAGAGATATATTCCAGTTTTCCAGACCCAACCCCGTACCCCTGGACCTTACCACCCTACCGCCATCTTATCCCAACTCCCTACCCTACCCCTACATTACCCCAACCCCAACCCAGGGCCGATCCTAAGAGTTTTTTGGTCTGAGTCGAGCTGTAAAAAAGGCCCTCAAGAATTTTTGGGGAAGAAAGTTCATGTCCGGAATTCCGGAGAGGAACTGCCATCCGGACGGCGGCGTTTGGGCGCCTTCCCGGTGGAATTTTTTGATGAAATTTTTATTTCATGTTTTTTCATCAAAGTCTAGTTTATCCACAAAAAATGTCAGCTAAAAATTCGATCGGGAAGGCCGTCAAATGGTTTTTTAAAGATAACTGGGCCAAAATATACAAATAAAACGCAGTTAACTTCCAAAAATTATTTAACGGTCTTCCCGGTTGAATTTTAACCTGAATTTGTTTGTGGATAAACTAGACTTGATAGGGAACATGACAAAAAATTTCATCAAAAAATTTCACACAAAAGACGGTCAAAGGCGGTATTTCCTGTCCGGAATTCTGGACAGGAACTTTCCTCTGTATAAAGGTAACTAATAAATTTTTGGGGCCCTATTTTTTCCCCCAAATTTGTGGGCCTGAGGCAGTTGCCTCTTTGCCTCATGTAGAGGTTCGGCCCTGCCCCAACCCTACTCACTACCCCCACCCTTACCCCTAACCACCACCCTAACCCACCCACTACCCGACCCAACCCCGTACCCCTGGACCTTACCACCCCACCCTGACCATATCCCTTACCCCACCCCCACCCCCCACCCACCCCCATACCTTCCTTCCCTACCCCGACCCCTACGAGTAGGTATGGGTGGGTATGAAGGGTTTTAGGGGAGTACGGGTAGAGTGTAAGATCGTGGTAAGGGTAGGGGTAGGGGTCAAGGGTGTGGAATTGGGTGTAGGGTGTAGGGTGGGGGTATGAGGTATAGGGGCAGGGTAGGGTTAGGAGTATGTGTACGCGTACGAGGTGATCGACCCCACATATTATATTATATATTTGTGTTCATGAATGTTGTGTGTCTATATATGTAAAAGGTTATTTTGGACATTTTAATGTTAAACGGTGTTTTAAACCTTTTGAAGTAAACATGATCTTATAACATTGCTTATTTTATGCGTCGTTTATTAACATGAGTCTTAATAAGCACCATTTAGTAACCCGTGAAGTAAACATGTCAGACTTCTGGATAATCACAGAATTGGGTGAAAATTTTGATGAACATGTTTTCAGATTTGAAAATGGAAAACTAGAAAATAGAAACAGAAAACTTAAGATAGAAAAACTAAAAAAACAGAAAATTAGAGAACGAAAAACAGAAGTAGAAAACGGGAAAATATCTCTGTTAGTAAACAGGCCCTTAATTTTTGACTTTACACGTTAAATTCTATAATAATTAAAACAATTGAGATTCGAGTAACATTTTTAACTTAATTGATTGAAGCTAAATAAAAGACTATTTTACCTATTATGAAAAAGTTATAATTAAAATATATTTATTAAGAAAACAATATATATATAGGGGATGATTAAAATACAAAGAGATCTTCACATGCAAAGTGAGAATTGATCTCGTGCATTCATTTCCAGATCTAATGGCTCAAAATGAGCCAAAAGTGAACTAAATTTGATCAAAAACGCGGTGGCAATTTCGTAATTAAAACGAAGTTTTTCCTCATCGCGAAAAAGTGCAACAAAAACACGCAAAAGTGCAACGCGGTAAGGAAAAAATGCAACCGTTTGCACTTTGCACGAGAGAACCTCTTTTTATTTGATCTCTTCCCTATATATATATATATATGTGAAAAATTTGAGTCAATTCGATGTATATGTATATGAAAAATTCGATATATATAAAAATTCGAACCTCTTTTAAACATGTTATTATATATATATATGAAAAATAACTAAAATAGTGATCTACAATAATTTGAGTCAATTCGATCAGGAAAACAATTTCAACTTTTTTTTTCTGAATTCTTCGTGCATAATTATAAGTTACATGTTCGGTGAAAAAATAATTAAACAAAGAGAAAAAGTGGGTCATCAAATGAGCTTATAAATATATGAAAAAAGTATTATGGTCTCTTTAAAAACTATAGGATAACTATATATACAAAAGATAAGTTCAATATATATAGTTATCAAATGAGCTTATATATATATATATATATATATATATATATATATATATATATATATATATATATATATATATATATATATATATATATATATATATATATATATATATATATATATATATATATATATATATAGGAGAGGGTTCAAATACAAAGAAGTCTTCCCATGCAAAGTGAGAACTAATCTCGTGCATAATTTCTAGATCTAGTGGCTCAAAATGAGCCAAAAGTGAACTAAATTTGATCAAAAACGCGGTGGCAATTTCGTAATTAAAACGAATTTTTTTGCCACCGCGAAAAGTGCAACAGAAATACGCAAAAGTGCAACGCAGTGATGAAAAATTGCAGCTGTTCGCACTTTGCACGGGAGAACCTCTTTTTATTTGATCTCTTCCCTATATATATATATATATTGAACTTATCTTTTGTATATATAGTTATCCTATAATTTTTAAAGAGACCATAATATTTTTTCATATATTTATATATATTAAATATATATTAAATAAAGAGAAAAAGTGGGTCATCAAATGAGCTTATATATATATATATATATATATATATATATATATATATATATATATATATATATATATATATTGAACTTATCTTTTGTATATATAGTTATCCTATAATTTTTAAAGAGACCATAATACTTTTTTCATATATTTATATATATTAAATATATATATATATATATATATATATATATATATATATTCAATATGTATTATAAAATGCAAAACTAGAGCAGTTTTGGGTCGGAACTATTATACCCCTTATGTGGGCTACCTTCTAGATTATTATTTTAATTGACCAAATACATTAATTATGTTGGCTGAATCTGTGTGTAACACTTGGCCTCAAAAAAGTCTTTTTGTCTTCCGCATCTCTTCATATATTTCCAATGCGTATATGACTTATACTTTGAATGCACCTACACTAGATTCTTCATAATATTCACTTGCTTTCCCAATTCCAAGTTGCTTTCTATCTTCCCTAAGTTGTGTTGCTCGAGATTTGGCCCAAATTAAACAAGGTTAAATTAGTTCTTCTGGGAAATCGTGTGTTAATGCTTTTACAATTAACAATTAATGCACGTAATATTTGTTGGAGCCTGTTGGGATATTGGGCCAAAGGCCCAATACTCGGGTCAAAGGCCCAATATATCCAGTCACGATAAATAGCCCGAAATCCGGAAGATGAACAAGCCCAGGGAGACATATGTACCGAACGGGGTTCGGATCAGCCAAGATACTTTGGCCTAATCAACGACGTTTCAACATGACCCACCACTCCGATCGGACAACGGCCCATTGGCAAGTGGCGAAGTGCATTAAACGCTAGAGTGTGACATCAGCAAGTGGGAAGATGAGCATCCAAGTCGGTGGATTAACTACCAATTAGCATAGAGCATCCCATACCCCCCATTAGTATAAATAGAGGGATTAATCTCATTGTAAAGGGTTAGCATTTTGATACTCAAGGCCTATAATAGTTTTCTCACTATCATTGTTGTATTAATCACTACTCCGACGTACCGTTCGGAAAGTTCTTGTATAATTCAACAAATTACTTAATACAAGTAGGTTTTGAGATTAGTATGATTCAGATTTTATATTTTCTTACATACAAATCATTATCCACGTCCTAAAATATCCAAAGCGTGTCTTGGGCTTTCGGGTCTACGGGATTAAACCTCAACATTGGCGCCGTCTGTGGGAAACTCGAACAAAAAGTTTCACACCAATCACTTACACAAAACAACCTATTATCAAGATGATTAGAATCACCTCTCATCACACTAGTGAAGGTTCCGGAAGACGCGGGGAGAGACAGACCCCCCAAGGGCAATCCAGCCAGGGATCTTACCCGCACTATGATGGGGATTTCTTCATCCTCGAAGCATCGAGGAGAAATCCTCAGGCGATGCGAGATTTAGCTCAGGTCATGCAGCACCTGGGGATGAGCAGGATGGGGGGCGATCCAGCTATACGGGGGAAACCAAATACACGACTTCATCCACGATGCAATCATTCCAAGAGGAAACTACCGATACAGAAACCACCACGGCTTCGAATCATTCACGAGCCCATCGGGGAGAGTACATAAGGGCTCATACGTCTAGGGGTAGGCATCACACTCCCAGTGACCACACCCCGACCGGGTCACGAGCTAGAGGAGATACGCCGGTTGGGCGTCATTTTCGTTATGAACATGATAACACCTGATCCAGACAGGGACGTCAGAATCAGAGAGCAACCCCACCAGAAGGAACTCGGGAGTTTGTTAATATGGGAACTTCACCACCACCTCCCCTAACGGCCGAGGAGGAAGAGATGGTCGAAATGAGGAGACAGATGAACGAAATGAGGGACCAGATGAACAGGGCACCTCTGCAACCTACCCCGGTGCGAGTTGGGATCACTTCCCCTTTACCCAGGAAATAATGGATGCCGAAATCCACAGAGATGCCAAACCGCCGACCGATCAGATATATGACGGGGCGAAAGACCCCCATGTGCATTTGAGGAGTTACCAAGGGGGGCTCATGCTGTTGGGGGGAAACAGAGGCGGCTATTTGTCGGCTTTTCTTCAGCACACTCAAGGGA